GATCTGATCGATTTCATGGATCCAGAATGCATTGACTTTGTTGGGCCATCGACCCTGCCATAACAGGAAACACGACGAAACCCAGCACGAGAAAGGAGAGGACAGGGATGTTGAACCGGGGGTCATTATCGGGTTCTGAGGGACCACTGATTAATTTATATTTTTTTATGTAATCGTTATGTGTGTAATCATATTGTGTAAATAAAAGTCAATTTTCTTGATCCTATATCGTTTACGTAATGTACTGCATTTAAAATAAAAAACGCGAAAAATTGCCTGTCTTTTGCACTAAGGCGCCATCTCACTTGGCTTAGGGCAAGCCTTTTATACATAGGCGCCAAGTGATATGGCGCCTCCCCTTTAAATTAAGGTGCATGCGCCAACTGGGTTGGCTCCTCCCTTGTGGGGTTTTCCTAAACATGGTTATTTGCGAAATTTTTTTAATACCTAGTTATTCCAAAAAAAATTCTTCAAACTCAGCAGCAAGAATATGACGAAAGAAACGAGCGCCGGGCTACAAGATTAACCGAGGAAATGGAGGCCTTAACTGTACGCATGGATGGTTTTTAAGATTTTATATACCATATGGATATGCCCAATCCTCCGGGTACACGTGGACGAGCACGAGGACGAGGAAGAGGGCGCGATAATGAATAAGAATAGATTGATTTTTGCTTCTCTTCCCGTTTCCTTTTTGTTTTTGAAGCATTGGGATATTGTTTGTTTCAAGCTTAGAGGAGTTAGTTAGTTTAGAAACTCTCTGTTGCTTTCTAAGTAGATCTTTAATTTCCATTTGTATTTCTTGTAATAAACAACATCATTTTATTTTTGAGTTTGTTTATGCAATTTTTCCGTTATTATCAAATTTCCCACTTTCTTGAGCCATAACAAATTTTTTTTTGTTCGTTACTTGCATAATCTGATGCATTCAAAGAATATATAGGTTGCTCACTTTTTGAAAGATATATGAGAAACTTTGAGTGAAACAAAAGTACGATGGATACCGTCGTAACACTCTAAATCCCCAGATTGCGCTAGATCGATTTCAGTACCCTTTATATCAAAACCTTAAACTTTAGCTTTAAAGTAGCTCCGAGTAGTTTATCTAGCAGTCAGCACCGTCTTAAACACAAACTACGTAGGGAGTCGATGAATATAAGTGAATGATCCAGTATATTTGAAAGATACGTGCTTTGCTGTAAGAAAATAGGGAATGCACCAATTAAGTTAGGCGACCCTCACCCAATCACTTAATCCAACGGATGCAGTACCTACGTGATATAACATAAAAACCTGTTGTCAGTTGGTTCAGAGGTGTCTGGTATTGAATTTGGTAGGGCGGACTACGGTCTGATCCCCCACAACTTGCAATTGGGTGAATTAAAGGAGGTTACCACATTTATGTTCCAGAACCTCGTGCTTAAAAGGATCTTAGTCGCTAATCGGCTACTCTATTACGCACGTGTGAAGATAAAGGGCTTAATGTGATTGCGCTAGAATGAAAACAGGTAAAATTTATCAAAAAGAATTAGATTGAGCTGTAATTGCATGACTGGAATTGGTCTGCACAATGGGGGATGTTTAGTGTTATTATCATATCTTTTGTGTTATGTTGAGCTTATGTTTCTTAAAAACATTGGCAGCCTCTTATGATTCGAATTGCATCATGAATTGCATTTAAGTTGTGCCTTATTGGTTTTTATATTGACTTTATTGCTTGAGGACAAGCAAAAGTTCAAGTTTAGGGGAGTTTGATAACACGAAAAGATATAGCATTTTTCGCCCGATTTACATAGATTAAATTTCCAATTCCTCGTTTATTATGTCACATTTTATCTCTTTTTATAGTATTTGCAACATATTTCAGGTACTTAGCTTTTGCAAGGCATAAATGAGAAAAGGAGAAAAAAAAACATTGGAAAAATGAAGTTCAAATGGCCTTTTTGAAGCATTTCAGCACTTCCTGCACCAGAAGGCGTGCCGCCCACCACAAGGGTGTTACGACCGAGATAGGTTGAGTTTTGTGCCCCTCGGCACGTCTCATGTTACGACCGGGAAAAATAAGAATTTTGTGCCCCACGTCACACCACACACGCTCACCACGATCCATATAGTGGTTACGCTTTTCTCTCCATTTGACAGACTCAGTGCGCATGTTCACGGATTCTTCTCCACGTTGAATTCCTATTTTTCCTCAACTAATGGACCATATATACATTTAAGCAGTTACCAAAAATAAAGAGTCTCTCACACCTTGAATAATTGTTACGCACTCTTACTTTCAATCTCACTTTTTCTGCTCAACATTATTTTTTTGTATTCTGTTTTGATATTTTCCAGTTTATATTTCTAGCATTAATTTTCCAGATTTCGTAGAACTACTTAGGCAATAAAAAACCCCACCATCAAAATAGTAATTTTCCACATCGGAGAAATACTACAACACTAGTTTGTTTCCAGACTTCCAGAATTTGCTTAGGATTACTTTAATTTAATTTGAGATATTTTTACTACAAGTCAATCTTGCCGGCTTGTGGAGGATACACATTACTCGAAATTAATCGCTTTATTATTCACTTTCAGGTTCCTATTTTAATAAGCATAATTTATTTATTTCCTACCATGCATGCGTTGTTGAATTTACGTTTTAATTTTATGTTGTTCTGCGATAAAATTATGTCTGGCTAGATTCTCTGATACCAATATGTAAAACTTAACGGAAAGGATTCGGTAATTAACTGGCATTATTATTTTTACAAAAACACTTTTTTGGTTTTAATTTCCAATTGAATATTTAATTGTTTTTGTACGGAAGTAAGAGACGATCTAAGGTTAAAATCAACAGAGCGAAAGTTTGAGGTTTTAACCAGATAGTGGTTATTAAAACATTAATTTTAAAAACAGCGGAAGCGCTTTAAAGTTAATTGGACCTTATTTGTTTTCAAAAAATACTTTTGAGTTTTAAATGAAACAGCAGAAGCGCTCATTTCGAGCTTAACTGATATGATCTGATTCAATAGAACGAAAGTTTGAGACGAAGGTTTTTAAACGAATAGTTTTCACCGGAACTGTGTTTTAATACTAAAAACAAATGCCAATGACTTACCGAATCCCTTAAGTTGACGAAATACATACCAGTGTCCCGTTATTAATTATTAGATTTTAGCTAATTCCAGATTAAACCCAAACATCCAAATTTTATAATTAGCCTTAGCTTTACACAGTGACCCTAAGATAACAGTAGTTTGACCATCAGTTCTTGTGGGTTCGATATCTTTTAAAACTACGCGATAGACTATGCACTTGCAGTCACTACACCCGACATACTCATAAAGTCGCGATCAATATCGTCCAATATACATAAATGCTAACTTTTTCTAGTTTTGACATCATATAAAACATCTAATGGTGAAGTTGTACTCACAATATCGAGTCTTGAATTCCTTTCCTTTCGACAATCCTAATCTCATGCACTTCCAACGAACCAACCAAATCTTCCAGTTTTAGGGTTTCAAGTTGATTAGATTTTTGAATAGATACGATAACATGATCAAAGTGAGAGTTCAATATTTTCATTACCTTCTCAACTATCATCTTATCAGTTATGGTTTCACCACAATCCTTCATGAGATGGACATATTTCTGGACCTTCGACACATATTCTGCAACTTTTCCGTCTTCTCCCATCGACAATAATTCATATTGTCGAAGCAAGGTCTGCAACTTGACAATCTTGACTTTCTGACCTCCTTCATAATACTTGACCAAATTATTCCATGCCTCCTTCGTCGTTTTGGCATGAGAGATTTTGTCGATGTTAGCAGCATCGACCGTCTGAATGCAATAAGCAACATTGTAATCTTTCTTCTTGACTTTGTTGCGGGCAATTTTCTGTGCTTTAGTTGCATCTGCAGCCAGCGCAGGAACGTCGTTGGTAACCAATTCTAAGGTATCTTGGAAGCCAAACAAGGATTGCATATGTTTTTTCTATCGGATCTAATTTTTACCGTCAAGCATTGAAAGAGAATTTAGAATGTCCTTATCACCATCCATCTTCGCAGCGGTTGATTCAATTGCCCTGGAAACACAATCTCTAACGTGAAGTTCTTGAAAACACGATCAAGAATAATAATCAGAAGTTCTGGATACTAATTTGTTAGTGCGTGAGATACTTTTAGTGAGGAGAGAAAGAGAGAATAATAAAGAAATAAAAATTAATATTATTCACTTGAATTGTACAAATAATGATATAAACTATGACTACTTATATACATTCGTATTTGAATTTGAACTTACTAACTTATATTATATTTAATATTAAATATCTCAACATATCTAACTTGAATTATATTTGATATTGTATCTAATATCTCACCGATAACAAAATCTTTGTTTTATTAGAAAAAAAGAAAACAAAATATTAATTTGCTACTTTGCTTACGTTTTTGACACTCAATTATTGTACAAAATAATAAATAAAATAGCGACCTTTACGTTTTCAACATCTATTTCAACTTTAAATATTTTCATCAAACTAAAAGTTTTAAAATATCTTTCCATGTGATATAAACCCCATTTTAAAATGCAATTACAGCAAGGTGTGTTTGAACGTTTTGCATGCACTTATTAAAAAGCAAAGTCAAAGTTTAATAGAGAGTGTTTATTTAATTACTAAACTCAATTTAATTATAAAACTTTTTATTTCTTTTTCAACCAGCTATGCGTACTTAAACTAATTTCAGCGATGCTCTATATTTCTGTATTATATAGCAACTTGAGTAACAATAAATAATTGCTCTATGAATAATTCAAAGTGTTGCACCCATACCAAAAAAGAACATTCATATATATATATATATATATATATATATATATATATATATATATATATATATATATATATATATATATATATATATATATATATATATATATATATATGAATGGGTTCCTCCAAGTACTAAAGTAGTATAATACAGCCTGAAATTAGTAACTAATAAATGGATGCTGTACAAGTCCTCTCTACCGATATAATCAAGGCACCAAAATCCAGTGATAAAAAAATTGATTTAACTCCATGGGATCTCCAATTTCTGTATACTCTATCCAACAAAAAAGGTCTTCTTTATCACCATCCATTAGTAGCAAACCAAATCCAACAACTTAAACACTCTCTATCCTCCGTCCTTGAATTTTTCCAACCTCTTGCAGGTCGTCTCAAAATAATGGAACACAGAGATAATATTATCTCGTGTTCCGTTATTTGCAACAATGCAGGTGTTCTCTTTATTCACGCGGCCGTGAAAAATATTTGGGTTGTTGATATCCTAGAATCCATCTATGTTCCTTCAATTGTTAGTTTATTTTTCCCTTTTATCGGAGTTAGTAACTATGAAGGCACATCACAACCATTGTTGGCTATTCAAGTCACGGAGCTAGTTGATGGCATCTTTATTGGTTGCAATGTCAATCATGTGGTTGTTGACGGAGATTCCTTATGGCATTTCATCAATTCATGGGCTGAAATTTCACGTAATTCTTGTCATCGTCAATTATCCAAACTCCCAATGCTCGAACGTTGGTTTCCTAATGATATTCAACATTCCATACAATTTTCTTTTACTATGGAGGCACAAAAGATTCACTCGGATGGGTCAAGTTCTTCACCATCAGACGATGACGAAGAACTCAATATATCAGAGAGAATATTTCATTTCAAAAAGGAGAAAATCTTGCAACTAAAATCAAAAGTCAATACACATATTGATAGTACCATCAAAATATCCTCTCTACAAGCGCTTTTAACACATGTTTGGTGCTCCTTTGTTCGTTCCAAACAATTTGATCCACATGAAGAAGTTCATAACAGGTTTGCGATAGGGGTTGGACCAAGATTACATCCACCATTGCCAAAAGGTTATTTTGGAAACACAATTATAACTTGCATGGTTACCATGAAAGCTGGAGAGTTGTTGAAGGAAGGTGGGGTTTGTGATGGTGCTTGGGAGATGAACAAGTTAATTGCTTCATATTCTAATGAGAAGATAAAGAATCACTACGAATCTTGGTTGAAAAATCCAAATCTTATTAGGTTTAACGACATAGCGAATAATAATTTCTTACTCATAAGCAGTTCTCCACATTTTGATGTTTATGATAATGATTTTGGATGGGGAAAGCCAGTGGCAGTTCGAAGTTCAAATAAAGTAAATGGACTTGTTAGTGTTGAGTTCTAATTCAAAACTGTAGTTTGTTTAGTTAAAAAAAAATACTATTGGAAGTTATCCTAGCTGTGCTGGATATTCTGCAGAATCTAATTTGTGACCAATATGTGTCACTTATAAATAGCCAAAGCAATGTAAATAAATATATAGTGTTGTTCATCTTGAAATAATATACAAGTTTCTCTTTAGTCTATTCTCTCTCAAAATCTTTAATATACTGCTGCGCATAATTGTGTTCTAACAATTGGCATCGAGAGCCTGGTTGAAATCTTAGGGAAACACGAGTGAATAGTGAGGGGGATAAAAATCAAAGGGAAACAGTGAGTGATAGCTTCTTGTTAGGGAAGATGAACAGCAATGGTCTTGGATCAAATATTCTGGTTCTTGATAACAAGAACTGGGATCGATGGAGTGCACTAATGAGATCTTTATTCGGAGCACAAGAAGTGAGTGAAATTGTTGAAAATGGCTACGAGGATTTGGTGGTGAATCCAACTGATGCACAGAGAACTGCATTCAAAGACGCCAAGAAAAAAGACTGTAAAGCCTTGTTTTACATTCAGCAGAATGTTGATAATCAACACTTCGAGAAGATTTCGAAAGCAACAAGATCCAAAGAAGCGTGGGAAATCTTAGAAAGCTATCACACTGGTGGTGAAAAGGTGAAACAAGTGAAGCTACAATCCTACAGAAGGAAGTATGAAATGATGCAGATGGAGGAAGATCAAAAAGTAAGTGACTATTTCTCGAAACTAATTGCCATTGTGAATCAAATGAAAACATGTGGGGAAAACATTACAGATCAGATGGTAGTAGAAAAGGTGCTGAGATCTTTGAATCAGAAATTTGATTTCATAGTTGTAGCTATCCAAGAAGCAAAGGATGTGAAAACTATGAAGATCGAGGACTTGCAAAATTCACTAGAAGCACATGAACTCCTGGTGTTTGATAGAAGTTCTGAAAGATCAACTCAACAAGCACTTCAAGTTCAAACTTACAAGAAAGAGGGAAACCAGAAGGATTTCAAAAGAAAGGGAAAAGGCAAGACAAGTTGGTCCAAAAATGGAAAGAACAAGGTGGTAGACAAAGCTGAATCTTCAAAAGGAGGAGGCTGTGGCAGAAGTCAGAACAAGAAGAGGGATTTTGACAAAAGCAAGGTGCAGTGCTTCAACTGTGAGAAGCATGGACACTTTGCTGATGAGTGTTGGTTCAAGAAAAATCAAAAGGATGATGAAGCAAATCTGGCTCATGAAGATGATCCAAGCATAGTGTTGATGATGGCTACTACAAATGATGAAAAGACCAAAAATGAAGAGTGGTTTCTGGATTCAGGATGTTCAAACCACATGACATCACATAGAGACTGGTTAACAGGTTTTGATGCTAACAAGAAAACAAGCATCAAACTTGCTGATAATCGAAAGCTTGTAGCTGAAGGAAGTGGAAATATAATGATTAGAAGCAATGATGGCAAGAGAATCATTATTGAAGATGTGATGTATGTTCCTGAAATGAAGTGTAACCTCATGAGCATGGGTCAACTAGTGGAGAAGGGATTCTCAGTAACCATGGATGGTAACTCTCTGAAGCTGTTTGATTCAAGGAAGAACTTGGTACTCAAATCAAACATGTCAAAGAATAGAACATACAGGTGCAACATCTCAAGTGAAAAGATGATGTGTATGTCAGCTGTAGTAAGTGAAAATGCTGAAGAATTATGGCACAAAAGGTATGGTCATTTAAACTTTAGAAGTCTTAGTGAATTAAACTCTAAAGAACTGGTATATGGCCTGCCTAAACTGAAAGTCAGAAGAACCATCTGCGAAGTGTGTGTAAAAAGTAAGCAAAGTAGATTCCCATTTGCCCCTGAAGCACCTAAGAGAGCTAATGTGACACTTCAAGTAGTCCACTCAGATATCTGTGGTCCATTTGAAGTGCCTTCATTAGGGGGAAGCAAATACTTCATCACTTTTGTTGATGAGTATACAAGGATGATATGGCTGTATACAATCAAGCTTAAGAGTGAGGCTTTAGAAGTATTCAGAAAATTCAAAGTCTTAATAGAAAAGGAAAGTGACAAATCTATTAAGATCTTGAGGACTGATGGGGGAGGAGAATACACCTCAAAAGAGTTTGAAGCTTTCTGTGCCAATCAAGGAATTATGCATGAAGTAACAGCACCATATACACCTCAGCATAATGGATTGGCTGAAAGGAGGAATAGAACTTTACTGAACATGGCAAGGAGCATGATCAAACAGAAGAATCTACCACACAAGTTTTGGGGGGAAGCAGTTACTACAGCTGCTTACATTCTAAATAAGTGTCCTACAAAGAAGCTGAAGTCAAAAGTACCAGAGGAAGCTTTGTGTGGAAGAAAACCCAGTGTGAAACACTTCAAGATTTTTGGCTCTTTGTGCTATAAGCACATACCAGATGCTAGAAGAAGCAAACTTGAAGATAAAAGTGAGATTATGATACTTATAGGATATCATCCCACAGGTGCCTATAAGCTCTATAATCCTTTAACTCAAAAGGTACATGTCAGTAGGGATGTGATAGTGAATGAAGCTGAAAAATGGAAATGGGAAGAGGAACCAACATACAGTGAAGAAAACCAACAAAATTGCATCTATCCTGACTCAAGTGATGAGTCAGAGAATGAAGAAGTGAACAACAGTGATGCAGGTGATTCAGAAAATGAAGAAGTGGAACTAAATAATGCAGATGAACAAGTAGAAGCAGAAGAAGCTATGAGGCCTGCAAGAACTAGACAAGCTCCAAAGAGGTTAAATGACTGTGAAGTGATTTCAGATAATGCAGTAAACGATGAGGGTGATATTATCCATTTTGCGTTGCTGGAAGATTCTGAGCCTATCAATTATAAAGAAGCATTAAAGATATATGCTTGGAAGAAAGCCATGGTGGACGAGCTCAATTCAATTGAGAAGAATCATACTTGGGAGTTAGTTAACTTGCCAGATAAGAAAAGGAAGATAGATGTAAAGTGGGTGTTTAAGCTGAAATTAAAACCTGATGGAAAAGTGTCAAAGCACAAGGCTAGATTGGTGGCTAGAGGCTTCTTGCAAAAACATGGTATAGATTACAATGAGGTTTTTGCCCCTGTTGCAAGGCTTGAAACTGTGAGATTAGTAGTAGCTATATCCTGTAAAAGAAGATGGTTACTTCATCACCTAGATGTCAAGTCAGCCTTCTTAAATGGTCCACTTGAAGAGGTTGTATTTGTGTCACAGCCTCCTGGGTTTGAAATACAAGGCAAAGAGAACATGGTGTATAGGCTCCATAAATCCTTGTATGGCTTGAAGCAAGCCCCTCGAGCCTGGAACAAAAGAATTGACCAGTTCCTGATTCAAATAGGCTTTAAAAAATGCACAGTGGAGTTTGGTGTATATGTGCAAAATGCAAACGAAGAGGATAGCATGATAATTTGCCTATATGTGGATGACCTGCTAATTACTGGAAGCAAAATAGAAGATATTGAGAAAGTGAAAGACAAGTTGAAGTCTGAATTTGAAATGACTGACCTAGGTGAACTCTCATTCTTCCTAGGTATGGAATTTATGAAGACAAAGGCTGGAATACTGATGCACCAGCAGAAGTACATAGGTGAGTTACTTGAGAAATTTGAAATGAGTAACTGCAACTCAATCTCAAATCCATCAGAGACAAATTCAAAATTGGATGAGTGCAGTAATGAAGAAAGAGTGGATCAAACAATGTTTAGACAAATAGTTGGTTCACTAAGATACTTGTGCAATAGCAGACCTGATATATGCTACTCAGTCAGTGTGATTAGCAAATTCATGCAGGACCCAAGAAAGACTCATCTGATAGCTGCTAAAAGGATACTCAGGTACATAAAAGGCACAAAGGATTTTGGTTTGCTATTTCCAAATAGAAGCAAAGGTGGAAGGAATGAATTGATTGGGTATTCGGATAGTGACTGGTGTGGAGATATCATAGATAGAAGGAGCACTTCTGGCTATGTCTTCAAGTTCAATGAGGCAAGCATATCATGGTGTACCAAGAAACAACAGGTGACTGCACTTTCATCCTGTGAGGCAGAATATATTGCAGGGACATTTGCAACTTGCCAAGCAATATGGTTGAACTCAGTAATGAAGGAGCTGAGGTGTGAAGTGATGAAACCTCTCATGCTCAGAATTGACAACAAGTCAGCTATCAGTCTTACAAAGAATCCGATCTCACATGGCAGGAGTAAACACATTGATACAAGATTCCATTTCATTAGAGAACAAGTAAGCAATGGAATGATAGAAGTGCAGTACTGTCCAACTGAAGTACAGCTAGCAGATGGCTTCACAAAGGCTCTAAAGCTTGACAGATTTGAGTTTTTGAGAAACAAACTTGGAGTTGTGAGTGCCAAACAGTTATGAATTAAGGGGAAGTGTTGAGTTCTAATTCAAAACTGTAGTTTGTTTAGTTAAAAAAAAATACTATTGGAAGTTATCCTAGCTGTGCTGGATATTCTGCAGAATCTAATTTGTGACCAATATGTGTCACTTATAAATAGCCAAAGCAATGTAAATAAATATATAGTGTTGTTCATCTTGAAATAATATACAAGTTTCTCTTTAGTCTATTCTCTCTCAAAATCTTTAATATACTGCTGCGCATAATTGTGTTCTAACAGTTAGTGTGTTTGTTGGAGTAGAAGAAGGTAGCATTGATCTTCAACTATGTCTTCCTTATAATATTTTAGAGGCAATGGGAAATGACCTCGATTTCACGAATGTTGTGTCCAAGTGATGCAGAGTTAAGATAAATAACTTTTATGAATTTGATTACTTTTTATGTGCTCCAAATTGTACTTTAATTATTGTAACATATTTGCTATTTTGACACCATGTTTGAACTATTCTCAAAGACAATGTTTTTTTTTGTTGTTATTATTTAACTTTGCATCAATAAAAAAATAATAAATAGTATTGCTATTAGACTGTCTTTTTTTTCTTTTATATTTTTAATTAAAATTAAGTTGGTTAATTGTGCGTAAAATATTAGTTAATATAAATACAAGTATCAAATTGATTAAATATTTTTAATGGATGTCCTACAAAAAGATTAAAGGAGAAAAGGCAAGTCTCTAAAATCAGCCGATCTGGCTTCTCTGTAGTTCTATTGGTGTGTTACATACGATTCGGAATGGTCGGTGGTTAAAAGGAAGGGTTTTTGAAGAGAGGTTCTAAGGTGGAATTCTCACCCAGACGGAAGGGGGTGTGAAGGTGCAGAGTTAGTGGGAGTCACTATGATTTTCTTTTTTAAGGTTTCGGACAGATTCAGAGCTGAAGACATTTTTGACTTGTTTAGTTGCAATGGGGAAGTGGTAGAAGTGATAATTCCACCTAGAAGGAACAAGTTGAGAAAGAGATTCAGATTTGCTAGATTAAAAAATGTGGAAGACGTGAGGATGTTGGCGGTGAGATTAGAAAATATTCTAATAGATAGGAAGAAAATACATGCAAATCTTTCGAGATTTGAACGGAGGAGTGTAGCAGCTAGAAGGGAGTTTAAAAGGGGTCGGTTTTTTTGGGGTTTCTCATCCTCAGAAATTTATGATAGAAGAGGAGGAGGTGGATCAAACTTTGTGGGTACCAAAACATTCCCAGTGGTAGTGTATAACAAAGAGCAGGAAAAGGGTTCTGAAGGTTTCAACATTTTGAAGTTTAGTTCGAAAGAGGAGGATAGGGAGAGGCTAAAGAAGGCTTTCGTGGGAAAAGTTATCATTCCAGATGTGACCTAAAATCTTCAAACTTATTTTGAAATTGAGGGTCTCTACTCTATTAAGGTAACGACTTTGGGAGGTACATTATGCCTTTTGGAGGAGATTGAAGAAGGGTTTATCCTAGATTTGATCAGTAATGGAGAATAGTGGTGGAAATAGTGGTTTTCAGAAATTAAGGCGTGGGAAGAGAAGGTAGTTGATAATATTAGAGTCATGTGGGTAAGGGTATATAGAGTCCTTTGTCACACTTGGATTATGGAATTATTTGTTGAAGTTGCTAACCTTTTAGGTACTTTTATGTGCGTCGATGAAAGTACGAAGGAGGGAAGGAATATGGACGTGGGAAGGATCTTGATGAGGATTTCGACAGGGGATATTCTCAAGGATTCGCTTAATATTGAGATTGGCGGAGTAGTTTTCTCCTTATTGCTTAAGGAAGATACTTTTGGTCCTTTGTAGGTGCTAAAGGGTTCTGATACGGTGAAACCAATTTCATCTGAATCTTCGATTCTAGAGAAAGACTGGTCGGCTAGTGAGAATAGTTTGAAAGAGGAAGGTGAATGTGATAGTATTGAAGAATTTTTTGAACATGAGGTGGATGCAGAAGTCAATGGGAGCTTGGGGGCAGAAGGAGATTAACAGGGAGGGTTTCTCTGCTAATGATGTCAAGTCTGCAGAATTTTCCAAAAACGGTTCTTTTGACGCGACTTTAGGCAAGGTTAAGGGAAAATGGTCTAGGAAGGAGAATTTGTCAGATGAAATTGAAGTTTCAGCTTCCTCTAGAACAAAAGTCCCTTGTAGTTCAAAATTTGTGGATTCCCCTTTCAGGAAATCGGTTTTGGATACGGTTGTAAAAAGGAAAAAACAGAAGAAAAAAAATCAAGTTCAGATACTGCATTGAGGCAGGAGGCTTTTTGAAAAATAAGGCGTGTTTGAGAAAGCGGAGGAGGTACAAAAAAAGATTCAACCTTTTGTTCTCCCTCAAGATCTGAGCAGGAAGAAAGTGACTCAAGAAGGAGTTTTCATGGGTTTGAGTATAGAAGGAAAGGGTGCAGACTCAACGGTTTACGGGGACCAAACTGAAGATTCTGACATCTTTAGGATTAACCTGAGGATGTGCGATAATCTTAACAGTAACATGGGTGAGAGGCTTTGGAATGCTATACTAATTTAGGGGTTTCTAAAACAGGTTGAAATAAAGATTATAAGAATGGGATCATAGAGTTGGAAAAGGCGAATAAGAGCAGAATGTTGGAAAGGAAGGCGAATAAAAATGAGTTAAAATGATTATCTGACCTTTGAATATTAGAGGGGGAGTAGTTTGTTAAAGAGGAAAAGAATCAATCAAGTAATTAAAATGGGAAATGTTGATGTTTTTTTGATCCAGAAAATGAAGATTTCTTCGATGCAGGAAAAGGTTGCTAGGAGCTTGTGGTGTAATGAGGAGGTTGGTTTTTTTTCTCTGATTCGAGAGGTTTGTCTGGAGGAATCATCATTTTGTGGAAGGTGAATGTGGTTGAGGTTCTTTGTAGCTTTAGAGGAGAAGAGTTCCCGGGGGTAAAGGTCAAGTGGTGTGGTGATACTTACTATATTTCCAAGAGGTGTGGGAAAAACTTTTGGATATTAAATTGAATCATTTTGATGGCGAGTGGATTATAGGTGGAGATTTCAATGCGATAAAGAATCATAGGGAAAGAAAAGGAAGAGGAGAGATTTTAGAAGTGCTGAGATAAAGGAGTTTGGCTCGTTTATTGATGTGACTAGTTTGGTGGATATTCCTTGCAATAGGAAAAAGTTCAGTTGGTATAGTGGAGATGAAAATTCCATGAGAATAATAGATTGATTTCTCATTTCAGATGCTATCGTGAGAAGATGAGGGGTTGTGGGCCAATTCATTGGTTTACGCGATATTTCAGATCATTGTCCCTTGTGGTTGGTGACAAATGGGTCAAATTAGGGGCCGAAACCTTTTATGTTCAACAATGAGTGGTTTTCTGATAAAGCTTTCGTTCCGTTTGTATAATCGGAATGGAGGAAGTTAGAGGCGGTGGGGAGGAGTGATTTTGTTCTTAAAGAGAAATTGAGGTTACTAAATGTTAGTCTTAGAACGTGGAATACAGAGGTGTTCGGGAAATTTGGTTTGAAAGTGCAAGAGGGAGTGAGGGAGCTGAATGAGGCTGGTGAGTTATTGAACCTTGTTAACGATAATGGTAAGGATGACATTTTAGCAAAACAGAAGGAAACTTCTACCCGATTTTGGTTCAATCTTAAGATAAAATAGAATATGCTAATATAAAAGGTGAGGATAAAGTGGAATAATGACAGAGACAAAAATAATAGGTTTTTTCGTAAAGTGATGAAAGAGAGAAGGAAGAGCAACCATATCGGTATGATTAATTCAGATAATGAATCTTGGAATTTGGTTAGTAAGGTTAGACGGAAGGCAACAAAGCATTTCTCGAGCAAATTTCTTGAAGAGTTTGTGGATAGATCTACTTTGGAAGGTATTAATTTCAAGAGTCTCAATAGTGAAGAAAGTGTGTCCCTTGAAGTTCTTTTTTCGGAGCAGGAGATTAGGGAGGCGGTGTGGAGTTGTGAGGGATCAAAAAGTCTGGGCCCCGATGGGTTTTCTCTTACGTTCATTAAGAGATGTTAGCATTTCCTTAAGGAAAAGTTTGTTAATTTTTTAACGGGTTTCATTCGGGTATCGCTCTTTCTAAATCGATTACTTTGTCTTTTTTTACTCTTATCCTGAAGGTGCATAATCATTTGAGCCTTGATGAGTATAGGCCGATTTGTCTCATCGGTTGCTTGTATAAAGTGTTATCTAAATTGTTGTCGGGAAGATTGAAAGTAGTTTTGAATTCCATTTTTTCATCAAGCCAAACTGCTTTCGTTCTGAGTAGACAACTTTTAGATGGTGTCTTGGTAGCTAACAAGTTGGTGGACATGGCGAATAAGGAAGGATAATGTGATCGGTGGAAATAGAACTGACTGTTTTAAAGCTGGTTTCGCGAAATGTCGTGGTAAGCAAGAGTCGCCACCGTCTTTTATGTTCTCCAACATGGAAAGGACAAAAGCACAACAAAATTCCTTCTTTGAGAATGTTTCTCGGTTCGGGAGGTAGATTTATAGAAAGGGAAGGTGTTAGCACCCTTCCTATCCATGGTTATCCATGGGCTCTTAGGTACTTGCTCTTATGTTTTCAAAAATGGTTTGCTTTTCGAGTGTGTGTGGGTTTTGAAAAAGTTTTGTTTGAAAAATTTCTAAGTAACTCTTGTATCTGTCCTCAAGAGTGTATGAAATATTTGTTTGAAAACCTTTTGAAAGTGTAGGTGCGAAAAGTATTTTGTTTGTTTTTTGAGAGAGCAAGTACCCAGGAGAATCTACCTACTCTAAGGAATTAGGCTGTGTAAGAGTCCTTTAGACAGTATTATCCCACTATTGAGAAATAGGTAGTACCGTCGTTGGAGTTATTCGGGTCAATTCGATTATAGGGACAATATGGTCACCAAAGCAATGGTAGGACACCTTAGCGGTAACCCTAATGTCCTAGATCCTTTTTTTTATCCGAGGCAACCGTTTCGAGGCAACTGGATCTTTAGACAAGAGGGCGACCTCTAAAACACCCTATACTTGATGACCACCATTAAAGAACCTTCCATTTTTTGGTTCAAAACAAAGATTTTATGCACAAAAAGCCCCTAGCACGAATTTGTGAGTTGACATCTGGTATATAAAAGTTGTCCAAATCAAAAAGATGCCCTTCCATTAATTTTTAGATTTTATTTGAATTATTATGGATTTAAAATGAATTAAATCAATAAAAATTAAATAAAATGGAAAAATAAATGTTTGGTCCTGAAATTAATCATGGGACACATGTATGGCATGACAAGGCTTAATCAAGTGGAAGAAAGTGGGCCCTTTTGTCAAAAATTGAAGTTTCAAGGATAGTTGACTTTTGCCATTTCACAAAAATTTCCCAACTTCTCCAATGCATATCTTGCTGAATTTTGACCAT